TCCCATTTTCAGTTGTTCAAGATTACAAAATTAGTAATTTAGTACTTAATGAATTCAATATCAATATTTGATTACAATAGTAACGATAAATACATTTGTCAAACGTGCAACATTATTGTTAGAATTCTGTATTGATAAGGTGAGAAGATTTAATCTAAAATATTTAAACGTACAACAATCTATTAAATATTTTAAAAAAATAAAAAATATTTATTTATTAAAATATTATTTTCTATAATATTTACCATAAAAAAGATATATTATCTAATTAACTTTTATTATACGATATTAACATAGTTTACCATAGAATAATATTTAATTTTTTTATTTATGTAAATATATATTATTAATGTGACATATTAGTTAATATATATATATATATATATATATATATATATATATTAATTACACATGCAAATTATGATGGCAAATATAAAATATTCAATATTTTTTTATTAAATATTTATTATATTCATCAAATGAATAATTTTTTTAATTTAAAAAATAGATAAATTATATTATTATAAAGATAGCAGTAAAATAAAATTTATTTAAAAAATTATAAATAATAAAAGAAAAAAAATGTTTAGCCTAAATGATAACATGAACTATCATATTAATTAATGTATATAGAGAGAGAATAGTAAAAAATTATTTAACCTAAATAATAATAATAATAATAATAATAATAATAATAATAATAATAATAATAATAATAATAATAATAATAATAATAATAATAATAATAATAATAATAATAATAATAATAGCGAGTATGTTAACTAATATATAAAATACTTTAGTGTTTTAAAATGTAAGATAAATTTGGTTATAGTTATTAAGTTCAAGATAAGATGATGAGATATAGAATCTTCGATCTATTACTCAACAAGAGTAGGTCTTCCACGTCAAATAATTTTTATTTATTTACAACCCCTTTATTTATTTAGATGTCCCCCCTCTCTTTTATATTATTTTTTTATTTATTTATGATATTTTTAGAAATTTGAATCAAATAATTTTTATTTATTTACAACCCCTCTATTTATCTAGATGTCCCCCTCTCTTTTATATTATTTATTTATTTATTTATGATATTCTTAGAAATTTGAATCATTACCAAATTAATTATTTAAGAGAGTTGTCACTGACAGATTCCAATACCTTAGAGTTGGAGACCGATACTCCAACCACTAAACTACTAGAATTTTCCGATAATAACTTATAAATAAATTATATTTATATACAAATAAATATATATCCGTGTAAATATATAAATATAAAAAATATAAATACAAATATATTTATATATTTTGATATATTTATATAATTATATATTTATATGTTGGATGTGAGGACACGAAGGTGAAAGTGTGTATCGAGTGAGTTTTCAAGATTTGATGTCAAATTTGTGAGCGGGTCTCTTTATATAGGTTTGTAATTTAATGACGAATATAATTTTTATAATTTATTTATATAATGATATAAAATAAATTTGGGAAACGCGTTGTTCGCTCAAGCGAAAAATACCAATTTTCGTTCAAGCGAGATATTTTTGCTTGAGCGAATGAATTTCCGTGAGTTTTAACGTATTTTTGCTCAAGCGAGAGTCAATCTCACTTTCACCCTCGAGCGTGCCCTCACATCCAACATATAAATATATTTTTATTTATATATTTTATATTTATATATTTACATGGATATATATTTATTCGTATATAAATATAATTTATTTGTAAGTTATTATCGGAAAATTCTAATAATTTAGTGGTTGGAGTATCAACCTCTAACTATAAGACATTATGTTTGAATCTTGTCAATAACAATTATCTAACTTAAACAAATTTTTGGCTGAAAAAAAAACACTTTCTACATCGGTTACAATCATAACCGACGTTGAATGTGTCAATAAAAAGATTTTTCACGTCGGTTCATCTAGGAGCCGACGTAGAAAGTACTTTCTACATCGGTTGATTAAAAATCGACGTAGAATGTGTTCAACTTTCAATGTCATTTTTTAACCAACCGACGTTGAAAGTACTTTCCATGTCGTCTCATCTTTAACCGACATTAAATGACGACGTGAAAATCATATTCTAGAAGCAACTACAAAAGTCATGTCTCCAATTTCTTCTTCGATCATGTGATCTGTGTATTCTGTCTCCTCATTATCATAAGGGAATGAAGCTCCAAGAGTTTCTTGTCCATGAATTCTTGTTTTTTCATAAATTTCTTTATATATCCTTTCTTTCTCGAAATGTTTTACCAGAATGAGGCTGACTTCAATGGGAAAAGGATGAAATTTGTTTCTCATAAGTCGTTTCCAATACAACTTGGTGTCGGCCGTTTCTTTAAGAAGAATGAAATCTGAAATATCCCTTTTTGAGAAATTCCAGTTAGATCCTTCTATGTAAGCTTTCCAGAGTTGGTATTGATATAACTTGTCTTTATTTAGGGAAAGACCTTTTAATGGATCATGTTCCATTGTGACGTGTATCTCCGAATTTGCTTCAGTGTAGAGCTTCACTACGTGTTTAGCCATGCTGTTAAGTGAAGTAGCATTTCTGGGAGAAGAGGTGATGTGTAAAGTGCCTGGATTTTGACCATTGATCTTGGGGAGCCAAATAATATATTATTAATAAATAATAAATAAATATAAAAGAAAGAAAGAAGATAAAAGAGTGAAAGGATAAAATTGTAGATATATACTTAAATATATTAAATGATCATTAAGTTTGAGGGGGACAAAATCATAAATTATATGAGAGTTACAAAACTAAGGAGGGGCTGAGATGATAAAATTGTAAATATACAAGTAAATATATTAAATGTTCATTAAGTTTGGGGGGCCAAAATCATAAATTACATGGGAGTTACAAAACTTTGGGGGGGGGGGTCACAACCCCCTCAACTCCCAATCCCAAGAAGATCCACTCGATGTGTAGACAAACATTTGTCATAAGTTCTACTTGTATCTCATTTACTACAGAGTTTATTTCTGGAGTTAATGAGTGAGATCTCTCTGAGGGTGGAATGGAGAGAGTTTGTAGACATCCAACTTCTAATAAAAGTTGTGGGCTTATAAGAAGCTCTTGGTATAGCTGATTTTTAAAGGTTTTCAAATAAATTTGGGCCCTTTTAATGATGAATTTTATGTGACACGTGTAATTTATAGTTACTGTCTTGCAGTATTCAGAAGATTCTAAGCACGAGTTTCTTATTTTGAAATATGTTTATATTTTTATAAAAAGCCCATTATAATTTTGGACCTCTGAATGGACTTCAAATATAAATTATAGTATGACACCAAACTTGACTTAGAAAATGTTGGGGTTTACCTAAGCGAGAATGATACGAGCATCTACATAGGTTTGTGTTTGAGTTTTTTGTTCTAGTAAGAGAACCATTTTTAATTTTATTTTTTATTTTAAAAAAATATAAATAGATAAACAAGAAAATATAGTTGCAAAGAGTGTCGTAATATGTAAAATATTTCTCAACCCACAAAGATAGATCCATGAAACTTATTGGTTCTCGTGGCTCTCACCTAACCTCGCCTAATCTACAAAGGATATCCTAACTAATACAAACTACTTCAATTGCAAATATATTCAATGGTATCCAAGAATTTCTTGCTATGATACCAAGTCAAAAGAGGGGGAGGGAAAAAGAACTAAAATTTATTTCTTCTGTTAGTCTACGTGACTACTTAACTTTCAAAGAACCTGAAACAGACTAGTTAAAATGAAAATTGTCCAAGATAAATTTAATTATAACTATTAAGTTCAAAATAAAATTATAAGATGTTAAATATGATATCTCCTATTAAACTTGGATGAACATTCAACTTATCTAATTAATATAATATAGAACATGGGCTTTGTGTTTTGGAAAAGATGAAATCATTGCTTTGCAATCTAACATCTTCAGTCACATAAATTTCTTACGTCTGAACTTCTCGTGTTTGACTGTAAGAAGCAAACATATTTGTTGTATATGAAAGTTGTAATGTGTTGTTATGTTATCCTACAAATTCATAGATTTTTTTTTTTTGTTTTCATTCTTTCTCCAATGTCACTCCAATTCTTGCTTAACATTTAGTCTAGTCTTAACTCTCTATACTTGGTAACTTGTTAAACTCCTTAGAAGAAACATGTCCAGTTTTTTTTTTTTTTTCTTATGAATTATTTCTAACTCCAAAGCAATTCACGTACTTCTTCCTATATTTTCAAAATCTATATCAACTCTTAACTAGCAATAAATTTTTTTGATGTCATTTAATACCTAATTGAAAACAAAATAAAAATCAGCAATAGCTTACTAATTATCAAACAAGTTGGTAATTTTTATTAAAGCTTACAAACTTAAAGGACCTTAAATAGGTCATTTAAGATTCTTCTAAGGTAACAACCTCCTCTCTTTTTTTTTATTATTATTATTTACTACTTATAAATTAATCATGAAAGAGGATAAAAAAGAAAATGGCGTTCCTTATAAGTGGTGGTTAACGAACATATCTAATAGTATAACAGAGTGCTTGCTTTTTTGAAGTGGAAATTATTATTATTTTTAATGGTAGAGGATATACTCGAAGTATAGAAGCCGCCGCGGTTAATATCTTACAAAGATGATGATCCTAGATTCGGTTTGCTGTGGTCACTGTCATGGTCCGCACACCAAGACAACATGATGAGCTGTAGAAGCCCTCCTCTGTGCATGTGGTTCCTTCGTAAACAGCTTCCCATTCTCCGTTTTGACCTCCTCATTTTCTTACTCTAAATTTCTACTTATTATAGAAACCGTCTCCATTGATTCCAAAGCAAAGACGACATTGCCGAACTTGCATATTTTGTCCTGTCTCCTCTTCTTTTCAAACTTACGTGTATTCACAGACGGCGAAGCTTCATCGAAGTAGACATCAATATCCTTTTGACTTTTCAAATTTGCCAAAAGGTTTCAACTATAAAGTACCAGCCAAATGTTGATCGGGTTCAGCCAAAATGGACGTAAGAGACTCACCACTGAAGCTTTACTTCATTCCATACCTCGCAGCGGGTCACATGATCCCTCTCTGCGACATAGCCCAATTCTTCGCCTCACGTGCCCATCACGTGACCATCATCACCACCCCTTCCAACGCCCAAAGCCTTAACCAATCCAACAACTTCCGCCTCCACACCTTCGAATTCCCTTCCAAAGAAGTTGGCCTGCCCGACGGCGTCGAAAACTTGACCGCGGTCACCGACATCGACGAATCCTACAGAATCTTCATCGCCACAACACTGCTCCAGGAACGCATCCAGAGTTTCGTCGAGCGGGACCCACCGGATTGCATAATCGCCGATTTTCTTTACCCCTGGGTCCATGAGTTGGCAAACAAGCTTGGTATCCCCAGGCTCGTTTTCAACGGATTCTCCCTCTTCACCATTTGCGCCATGGAGTCCGTCAAAACGCACTGCATCGATGCTTCCGGTCCCTTTGCAATTCCGGATTTCCCTCACGACATCACCATGAACTCATCCCCACCCAAGGACTCCCGGGAATTCATAGAACCCCTGCTCACGACTGCGCTCAAAAGCGACGGTTTCATTATCAACAACTTTGTCGAGCTTGATGGGGAAGAGTACCTCCGCCATTACGAGAGAACAACAGGGCACAAGGCCTGGCACCTTGGCCCGGCGTCTCTTGCTCGCAGAACCGCTCTGGAGAAGGCGGAGAGGGGGCAAAAGAGCGTGGTGACTATGCAGGAGTGTATGAGTTGGCTTGACTCGAAGCGAGTGAACTCGGTGGTGTACATAAGTTTTGGATCCATTTGCTATTTCCCGGATAGACAGCTTTACGAGATTGCAAGCGCGATCGAAGCGTCCGGTTTCGGATTCATATGGGTGGTCCCGGAGAAGAAAGGGAAGGAGAATGAGAGCGCGGAAGAGAAGGAGAAGTGGTTACCGAAAGGGTTTGAAGAGAGGAACTCGGAGAAGGGGATGGTTATCAGGGGGTGGGCTCCACAGTTGCTTATCCTGAACCACCGTGCCGTTGGGGCATTCGTGACTCACTGCGGGTGGAACTCCACCGTGGAGGCTGTAAGTGCCGGGGTTCCCATGATTACGTGGCCCGTTCACAGCGACCAGTTCTATAACGAGAAGTTAATAACGCGGGTGCGGGGCATTGGGGTGGAGGTGGGCGCAGAGGAGTGGAAACTCACAGCTTTCTTCGACACCGAAAAGGTTGTGGGCAGAGAATGCATAGAGAAGGCCGTGAAGAGGGTGATGGACGGGGGTGATGAATCCCTGCAAATCAGACGGCGAGCCAAAGAGTTTGGGGAAACGGCTAGACAAGCTGTTCAAGAGGGTGGCTCCTCTTACAACAATCTTACGGCCTTGATTGATTATCTTAAACAATCCAGAAACTCCAAGTCACAGCCACTTCTCTGAATACCATGTTCCACACACTGTTTATCAAATTCTATTCCACACAGTTTATATACTAATACAATATTCCTTTTCCTGTCAAAATATTGGCACAATAAAATCGCTGCACCTTGACCCATAGGACCATAAGCCTGACATGGATCTTCTTCTTGGTTCTTGATTATTGATTCGTCAACATGTTATTAAAAGTGACAAAGTTATATATATATATATATATATATATATATATATATATATATATATATATATATATATATATATATATATATATATATATTAAAAATAGGCAATACGATTTTAGTATTAATAATAAAAAAGTACTAAATTACGTTAGGAAGATTATGAAAAAAAATTATACTTTTTAAAAAAATGTTAAAAATTATGTCTAATATTATTTTTATAAAAATAATACAAAAATAGTATTAAATATAATTAGTTTTCATTAAAAAATTATAACTTGTCTAAATTTTAAATTTTATTCATTTTGATAATTTTTTTAAAAATAATTACATAAAAAATCCAAGAGGAAATTGTACTTAGAAAAATCTTTAATAATAATTTTTAATCTAACATCTTTTACAATAAAATGTATTATTTTATTATACATTTTATATTGATTAATTATTAAAATTTAAAAATAATTTGATTTTAATTTTAAACTACATAACTCATATTAAAATAACGTTTTTATTTATATATAATTATGGGGAGCTTCAGTTGGTAACTCTACGTGGACATTACATTGGTACGGTTTTGTCACTGTCGGTGAGCAATTTGTATCATTTTACAAATGCTCGTAATCTCTCTGTCCAAATTCGTGGATGTAAAGACGATTTAAAAAAAATAAAATTATATTTATATATGATTTCTATCTAAAACATATAAAAGAAATTAAAATTAAAATAGCATATAATGTAACAAATTTTATTTTATTCTAAAATTTATAAATTGAAAAAAAAAGTGTACTATATAACATAATTTTTTATGAAAAATAATAAAAATATATTTGAAAAATACTTTTTGTTAGTAAAGTCATATTTTCAAACATAATTATTTAATATCATTTTTGAAATGTTATTTCGATATATTAAAAGATAAATTATACCAAATTAATGTTTTTGCCGTAAATATGGGATGTGACATGGAGATAAAACAAAATCATATTAATTGTCACACAATAGTTGCTTAGTTCAATTTTAATAAGTAAGTCCAAAGTTGTGCGCAAACATGTCTTGAAAAAGTCGCTCCTCGACAGGACTTGTCCCAATAAAACAACAATGATATTTTCACACACACCAATTCAATAACTCCACCTACGATCCTTTTTATTAATATAATAATAATAAAAAAATGATTTAATAAAAATAAATTAAATTATTATTATAATATTAAAAATAGGTTGTTGATGCAAACTGTATAGATTTGGATTGTGAAAATGTGATTAAAAAAAATGAAGATAAGATTTTTTTTAATTTAAATGAGGTAGTTTGGTTTTAAACATGGTAAAGTAGTATGTACATTTTTAAATATCGATTAAAATAAATTGCACTTCTAGACTTAGACTTTGTTTTTGTGGAAGAAATTTTGGACAGATTGATACTGCCAAAAAGTATTGTAACAATTTTACTGACAGATAGAGGTTGAAAATAAATAAATAAATAAATATCATACTTACAAGTTACAATTGAATAAAATGTAATTTTGTTTTATTTCCTTGTAAATAAGACCATGGTGCTTCGCTGCAAGGCAAATGAGGAGCCGTAAGGAACCATCTTAGACAAAAAAAAATAAGAATAATAGTGGATAAATGTAACAAAAAAGCGGTATCATTAATAAGAATTAGAAACACGTTGGAATGTACAGGTTGTTGTGTGTTTCACATTTGGACCACTCCCACGGCAAAAGATTCTCTGCCGTGGAATGACGGAGTATAAAATGGCAGTGACATAGGAGGAAGAGAAATGCCATTAATTAAGATAGCTCCACGCCATGGAGGAAACTCAGCCACTCAAACTCTACTTCATTCATTTCCTAGCAGCTGGTCACATGATCCCTCTATGTGACATAGCCACCCTCTTTGCCTCTCGCCGCCACCACGTCACCCTCATCACCACCCCCTCCAACGCCCTAACTCTCCGCAAATCCATCCCCTCCCATCCCTTCCTCCGCCTCCACACCGTTTACTTTCCCTCCCAAGAGGTTGGCCTTCCCGACGGCGTCGAAAACATCTCCTTTGTCACCAACACCGACAACCTCGCCAAGGTCTTGGACGCAACCGCCATGCTCCAATCCCCCATCGAGAACTTCGTGGAGGAGAACCCACCTGATTGCATCGTCGCCGACTTTCTCTTCCCCTGGGTCCATGACTTGGCCAACAAGCTTAACATCCCTAGACTTGGCTTCAACGGCTTCTCCCTCTTTGCCATCTGCGCCATACACTCTTCCAAGTCTTCCGATTCTCTTCTTATTCCGACCCTCCCTCACCCCATTACCCTCAAGGCAACACCGCCTAAGGAGTTGACTGAATTCCTTGATAAAATGATGGAGACGATGCTCAAAAGCTACGGCTTAATAGTGAACAACTTCGCGGAACTTGACGGAGAAGAGTACATTCGCTACTACGAGAAAACAACGGGGCGCAAGGCTTGGCATCTTGGACCAGCCTCTCTTATATCGAGAACCCCTCAAGAGAAAGCAGAGAGGGGCATGGAGAGCGTGGTGAGTATGCAGGAGTGTGTGAGTTGGCTTGACTCAAAGCCAGAAAAGTCGGTGGTGTACATATGCTTTGGGAGCCTTTGTCATTTCCCGGATAAACAGCTTTACGAGATTGCATGCGGGATGGAAGCATCGGGTCATGGATTCATATGGGTAGTTCCGGAGAAGAAAGGGAAGGAGAACGAGAGCGAGGAAGAGAAGGAGAAGTGGTTACCGAAGGGGTTTGAAGAGAGGAACGTGGAGAAGGGGATGGTTATCAGGGGGTGGGCTCCACAGTTGCTTATCCTGAACCACCGTGCCGTTGGGGCATTCGTGACTCACTGCGGGTGGAACTCCACCGTGGAGGCTGTAAGTGCTGGGGTTCCAATGATTACATGGCCAGTGCATGGAGAACAGTTCTATAACGAAAAGCTGATAAGTGATGTGCGGGGGATTGGGGTGGAGGTGGGCGCAGCAGAGTGGACCAGCATAGGGTTTGGTGAGAGACAGACGGTGGTGTGCAGAGAGAGCATTGAGAAATGTGTGAGGCGCATGATCGACGGTGGTGATGAAGCACAGGAAATCAGACGGCGTGCACAAGAGTTTGGTGAAAAGGCCAGAGAAGCTGTTGGAGAAGGGGGTTCGTCTCACAAAAATTTAACGGCCCTGATTGATGATCTTATACAGGTGAGGGAGGCCAAGCTTCTACATTAGTTAATAGCCATTCATACCCTTTTTTATTGTTTTTGGCATATAATGCGTATCTAGCTTTCTGTTTCTTAAATGGTCACAAATACATCATAGGGATAAGGAAATAAAAATAAAAAGTTACTATTTTTTTTATCATCCATAGAATTTAAAACCACAAAATAATATAAAAAGTAAAATCCTTTTAACTTTTTTTATTCAATATATTTAATTATTTATTTTAATATTTATAAAAAATAAATTAAATTCATATATATATATATATATATAATATTTTATTTAGATCAATACAAACTTAATATATTATTAAATTTAAATATTTATAAAAAAAATTAAAGAAACAAAAATTATAAATACGTAAATAATTTTAAAAATTTTAGAAACTCTTATCAGATCTCATTTTATTCCTGAAATTTCTGCTTAATAATATATTTTTTTCTTATTTTATCATATACTTTTTAAATAATCTACTATGAGATATTAATATAATAGAAAAAAATTATGATTTTAAATAAAAATATATCTTAGCAGTTTTTGTCTCCGTTGTGCAATAGCTTTTCCTCTTGAGCTTCCATCTGTCACTCTCACAGTCTTCAAACTTGTCTTTTCAAACGAGTTTTGTTCGCCATCAACGCCAAGGTCAAGATAATATATGCAGAAGTGGTCGTGGTAGACACCAATGCTGTTTGCTGATACCAGGGTACCATGTTGATCACTCTTTATCTCATCCTTGTGCTTGATATCCACTCCCTTTATTTCCAATATACCCGACAGGGCAATCTGTATAAGTATGCATGTATCTTATATGATTAGATTAAATTTGTTGTTAAAGATTGGGTCTAATTGGGTTCAAGTCTAATTATTTGAGTAATTATTCGAGTAAAGTTCAAGATAAATTTATTTGGGGAAGATTTAATGGGTCTAACGTATAGATAGTATTATTAGGCTGAATATCAAGAGAAAAACTAAAAAAAAAAAAAGACTATAAAGAGAAAGAAAAAAACTAAGAGGGACCTTTCTTTTTGTTTTGTCAGAACATTGGCGCAGGTAAAATTTTTCATACTCCACGTTCAACATAAACCCTATTGGACACAAACAAAGACAAAACCACTCATGACCGACCCACCTTATCCAGTGAACCCACCTCACCGAAACAAACCCCGCTTCCCGGAAACCCTAATTCGAATTTCGAAGAAGAAGAGGAAGAAGATCGATGTGGGCAGCTTCTTGCCTGACGTCATGCTGCGCGGCGTGCCCATGCGACGCATGCAGGACCGTGGTTTCGGGAAAAATATAATTTGACTCGAGTATTAAAAAAATATAATTTTTTAACAAAATTATACTTCTATCACAACACGACGCTGTCTTACGCCGCAAAAACCCAGAAGAAAACGCTGAACGCAGGTTTGAACTCTCTCCTAAATTTTTCCTCCATAGTTTCTGCAACTCATTGCTATCGTTTATTCTGCGGTTTTCGTTTCGGCACATGACGTGTTTCTTTTACTCGAATGCATATACACCAGGTCTAGGGTTTTGGCTCCCCCTCTCCTTTTCTCCTATCTTAGACGCCACGACAAAATGTAGCGTTTAATTAAAAAATAATCAGTGAATTGCGCCTTTGCAATTTCCAAATGGAATGTTATTTGTTTCTGTGTTTTTGATTGAGAATCGGTGGTTGCTGCTGAATGCCTCGTCCGCTAGAATGTATTTTGTCATGAAATGTGAAAAGAGAGGTTGCTTATAGAATAGTTTTATGTGTTAATATTCGAGCTTTTAACCTTGCTTGCTGAAATATGTAATTTATCTCCGCTTCATTGCTTGTGTCATAAACTTCACTGCGGTTATGTGTTGTTGTGAAACTTATGAAAGGAGGAGTGAAAATGTTTTAAAATTATAGTATGGTGTTTGTAGTCTTTTTAAAATATTATTCATCCTTTTTTGCTAGTGAGAAGTAAAACTGTTGTTTTGAAATAATTTATTTTTGGTATTTGTCTTTTGCTACTCTTAGCAGCTGTGGATATTAAGACAACTTTCAGAAGTAAGTGTTGAAATATATATACTGGAAATGCTATATACGTTGAAATCTCTCTGCCGTCTGCATTATTTCTAATGATGGTGTTATCTTGCGTCTTTCTTGTTTTAATCTTTAACTGTGAACAATAGTTTTTTACACCCAATAGATTGTACCTTGAGGCATTTTAAAAAAGCACATATTGGTATGTATTCATTACAATTTGCATATATTGGGAAAGGATGTTTGCAACATAAAGCATTCAAACACGTGTACTTAAAACAATATTAGTTGGGTTTTGTTATGGTATTTTTAGGTTTATTCTAGAGCATTAAAAGTGTAGAATGAAAAGAAAGCGTGTAGCTCAAAGTGAGTCTTTTTGTGGGTATGGGGTTGTATTTATAGGTGATAATTTTGGTTTTGTTCAGTAGAATCCCGAGATATTGGGGATTATGAACCCCAATATGTGTGGCTTGATTACTCATATTATTACGCTTTTGGTTAATGTATCCGTTATAGTTTATGTTGTGCCGAGCATATTGGACAGGTGGGGGTTGTTTATACACTTACGTAAGTAGATACAGGGAAAATAAATTATTCTGTTACTTTTATGTTGGTTTATCCCACTGATGCGTCATGGATTTCTTTTACCCTTATAATTTGGCAATTTACGATTAATGGTAGCTTGAGTCCCACAAATGGCCATGTGTATCAGGGTTCAATTTTTCCCACCCCCTGCTTGTAATGCTTTTGTTTATCTGTATATTTTAGTTTTTATTAGCGTAGTATTTAAATTCACGACCTACTCCATCCATATTTAACAACTATCTACTATTTGCAATGTGTAGCTCCCAAGACTAAAAGAAAATATTCAACTGTTTTTCCCCACCTGGATGTTATTCTAAAATTGTTTCTTTTACATACCGGTTTGGAGCATTGCCTATGTTAATACTTGATAACGCAGGGTTCCTTTTATGACCATGTCTGGAACATCCATGTCTCGTCCTCATGTTGCTGGAGTTGTTGGTCTTCTCAAGACTCTCCATCCTACTTGGAGCCCAGCAGCCATTAAATCTGCAATAATGACAACTACCAGGACAAGGGACAACGCTGGTAAGGCAATACTTGATGAAAAATGATACTTTGACACCCCAATTTTATACAACTTTAACAAACAACCCACTTTTAATATTATAATAATAATTTTAACTTGTTTTCATTTTTATTTAATCTCTTTCATGATTATTATATTAATAAAATGGGTTGTTTTTTGAGTTGTTTTTTCTTACGGTTGTCAAAATATCATGACCCATACTTGATTGGGATAATGGTAAGGCAACCCCATTGCCCTACGGGTCAGGCCACATCAGACCAAATCGTGCCATGGATCCCGGGTTGTTGTATGACTTAAGCTTGAATGATTACCTAAACTTTCTTTGTGTCTCTGGCTATAACCAGACTCTGCTAAAGGCGTTCTCTGGTGCTCATTATCGTTGTCCTGATATAATAAACATCATGGATTTCAACTACCCTATAATGACAATACCAAAACTTTATGGGTCAGTTAGTTTGACACGAAGGGTGAAAAATGTTGGGTCACCAGACACTTACAGAGCAAGTCTGAGAGCACCAGCAGGTCTTTCGATCTCTGTGAAGCCAAATGTGTTGAAATTTGACAAGATTGGTGAAGAGGAGAGCTATAAGTTGACGGTGGAAGTAACAAGCCCAGGTGATGACGAAGCATTTGGAGGCATAACATGGTCAGAATGGGACTTATGCTCTAAACAACACGAGCAATGTCTGAAATTCACATTATTTATGAAATCCGTACTACCCTATACATCCGTACTATGCTCGAAAACCGAGCAACCTGTGAAATCTACATTACGTGTGAAATCCATACTACTCGAAAACTGAGTAACGTACGATCCGCACTACGTATAAAATCTCGAAAACCGAGCAAGAAATAGCACTATGTACGAAATCCGTATTATGTTGAGAATGTCCGTATTATGTTCAGAATGTGACCTAGACCCAAACTGTGAGCATTGAGCGAAATCTACACTATGGTTGAAATGCGACCTAAGCGGGTTAATCTTCGTCTAAATTTAAGTACACGCGGAAGCAATTTTCACACTCTACATCAAGACGACAATCACTGTAAGTATGATTTTTAAGGGTTGTTTATTCCCTTTAAGTGGTTGAACTTTGCAATTATATCATGAAATATTAAGGGATGAAGTGTATTCGACGTCTATTTCGGTTTTTAGTCTTTGTATTAGAAATATTTTTCTAATTTAAGACTTGGGGGCTATTTTATGTGCATAGAGACTGTGTCTGGTTGGGCTCGGGTCCAACTGCATGAGTAAAGTGGGTCAAGATAAACTTATTTGGGAAAGATGAACTTGATTGATAGCTAATGGGTAGTATGGGGAATAAGATATTATTGGACCCAATAAAGAAAAACCCTAAAGAAAAATTTGACTATAAAAAAGAAGGACAAGACCAAAAGGTACATCTTTTTTTATTTCGAAGAACAGTATGGATCTTCAGTGATTTATTAGATTAAATTTGTTCAAGTATATCCACTTTTTTTTCACTTACATTATTCAACTCTATAATTATACATACCGCTTGATTGAGCTACTCGTCTTAAACTCCCAGTCCATGATGTTGTCGTAGTTGCCCATAGTGAAAATTGTTCTTACAATCAAGTTCACTTCCGTTCTGGTTTCTACGAACTGTCAAAGGCCAACAAGTACGTAAAAACTTAAATGTCATTGAAGATTAGTTTAATTGAAGGAGCACTTAATGTGTGTTGATAAGGAGGATGTGTAGTAGCATGTATATATACCAAGTCATTGGGAATTCTAGTTTCGGTGCCACGCCACATGTTGCTGCAATATTGTTCAAACACACACTGCGTTGGGAATGAGAGCTGGATTGCCAAAAGCATTGTGAACATGAGTCAAGGAATTGTGCGTTATATGGGCAATCAAGGTTGGGCACCAATGAGACAGTTGAGAGACCGAACTCAAACTCTCAAGCATCAAAGAATGTCTTGTAGTAAAAGTCATCTGTTGGGTCTTGGTATGGCACGAACAGCTCAGAAATGTACCCTTTGTATAACACTCTACCAGACTTGTGCAAATCGCATATGGAGGCCAGTGATATCAAAAGTCCGGCTCGTGGTTCGAATCCAATGTGGAACTTTCCAGGTGGCCCAGCTGAACAAATTAATTAAATCAAAATCTCAAAACAATATGTTATATAAAAACAATGCAATGATAAATAAATAGTACTAGATATTGGAAAACAAATCGAAGACAAAAATAATATTTTTGCATTTTTTAACTTATTACAAGGTGAGGTATTAATACATGAGAGTGAAATTCTTTAAAAATACAGAAAAAAATGTCACATACAACAATAGAAAAGACAAAACAAAAAACAAAACATAAAAAATATAAAAGTAAAACAGATAAAAACTCATAAAATCTTCAAGAATGAAAAGTTTGTTGAGATATAGGATGATGTGTCAAAAGTACTACATGCCACTTAGTCATGCCTAACTGCATTCTATAAATCAAAATGAGGTTTATTTGATATCCCTCACAAGTTGGGAAGTATATATCAATAATACCCAGCTTGGAAGTCAGATCATGAAATTTATTGGGATTGAGTATCTTGGTATATATGTCAGTTAATTGGCATGACATTAATACAAAAATGACTTTTTACGTCACTCAATTCTCGTCGCATCTAACAATATTTGACGTAAATAAAATATGGTGACAATTTTGTAAATAAGAGACAGGATTTTTATGTCGCACACTACTGTACACAACATAAAATCCTTCTTTTACGTCGCACTTAGGTTGGTACGACCTAAAAGAAGGTTTTTATGTCGCATACAGTAGTGTGCGATGACGTAAAAAGTGGATCAATTTTTACGTCGCACACTATTATATACGACGTAAAAGCCTTCTTTTACGTCGCACCTAGGTTGGTGCAACGTAAAAGAAGGTTTTTACATTGCATACAATAATATACAACAACGTAAAAAGTGGATCAGTTTTTATGTCGCACACTATTATATGCGATGTAAAACAAGGATTTTACGTCGCGTACAATAGTATGCAACGTAAAAACTTATTTTTATTGTGTTCCACGGCCACTCCCTCATCTCGTGCAGCCAAGGTTTTTGAAAATGACGAGGAGAATGACGACAATAACTATCATTTCCACACAATTTTGGATCATTTTAACTGTGAAAAATATCAACATTGTGTCTCATTTTTTGAATTTGACGTTTCTCCCCGATTGGATTTGAGTTTTAAATCGTTTTTGTGTATACTCAAGGTTAGTGTTCTATATCTCCTGTTATATGTTCAAATTGAATCCGTAATTGTTTTTGGGGATCTCAATCACGTTATTACATGAATGTCTCCACTGGATTGTGATTATCCATTTATGCGTTTAAATTCTACCTTTTTGTTGTTATAATTTGTATATTACAAGTACAACAATACAGTATATTGGAGGTTTAGGTTTAGGGTTTTATGATAAAAAAAATGAAAAATGTTCGAAGTAAGTTAACTTTTGACTGGGATGTCAGATTTGGACGCACAACATATCAAAACGAAGAGAAAAAGACGAAGACCCAAAGGGGATTTGTCCCAACATTTTTTCCAAAATATGCTCCTAAGCATATGTAATACACAAAAGTTTGTGCGGGTATAAATAATTCTTCGACAGAGGTAATTACTTTCAACATTTATTAAGTTTATTTACTTTTGTGTAATGCATATTAACAGGAGTCAAATTGATATTCCAGGTATTTGAATGTGGTTACTATGTCATGTATTGGATGAGAGTCATAATTTGTGCGAATATAATTGATTCTTGGACGGAGATAATTGTTTTCAACATTAGTTAAGTTTATTTTACTTTATGTGTGTTGTGGGTTTACAAGAGTCAAATTAATGTTTCAGGTATTTCAAGATTCATCTCTATTGCCAGAATATGATATATCACACAAATTAGAGAACAAGGGCAAAATTTTTCGTTCAACAATTCTAGTACTTAGTTTGTAAGTTATTGTTGGTATTATATTGTGCGTATTATGTAGTTTAGGTAACTTAATTTGTACTAACTTTTAGTTTGTAATAACTTTTAGTTTATAGGGTATTGTTTGTATTATATTATTTTATTATGTAGTTTATGTAGCCTAGTTTTTGTACTAGTATGGTGTATTAATTTAACTTTTGTAGTTTGAATTATATATAATATTGTATTTATTATTTACTAGTTAAAGAAACTTGAACCTCTGGACTGTCTGATTATAATATATGTTTACATGTTTTGGTTGTAAGACAAAATAAACCCAATATTTAAAAAAAGGAGTAAATTTACGTCGCATATATCACTGTGTGATGTAAATTTCGTCCAATTTTTTAAATTTACAAAGCCTTTTACGTCTGTTTAGTGGTATATGCAACATAGATTAACGTCGGGTCTCGATAACTAACGTGGTATATAACTTGGTTTTTACGTCCAACATTCATGGGTGATAACTTGGTTGTAACTTGTTGGCTCAATATTAGAGGACAAAGAAAAAACATAAGAAGCATAAGTAGGTGACAAATTGATGTGAACATGACCTATGACAAGGGCTAGAACAAGGGAAACAAATGAAGTTTTTCAACAAGTATTATTGGTTGACCAAATTGTGTTTTGGATTAATCAATTAATGAACTTTAGTTTGATTTTATTGCAAGTTGTAATAAGGGCCCAATTGGAAATCTAATCATTGGGAGACCAAGATGGTGCATAACTGATTGACTTTTGGTTGTCACAATTTCAGTTACAATCAGTCATTAAGTAGTTTTCAATTCTTAGGTTAATGGATCATTATTAGCCTTTATTTATCTCCATTAAGTAGTTTTCAATTTCTAGGTTAATGAATCATTATTAACATTTATTTTTCTTTATTGAATCTTTGTAATTCTGATGACAATGCTTCTATATAGGCTGAACCATTTTTATTAAAAATAACAAGTGAAATTTTATTAAAAAATATTAGAGTTTATCTCTTTTATCTTAGTGAGAGTCATTTTCCTAAATTCTTGAGTGATTCAAGAACTTTTGGATGTATCAAAGGACTTTCACATCTTTTGTGAGTTGTCTTCCTTAGGAAGAGTGATTCTTTCCTTCCACCTTATCACTAAATTCCTAAATTTCTTACAAGGTTCTAACCCTAAAGATCTTAAATCACCCCTTGTGATTCATATCACAAATTACTATAAGACAAAGAGTTTTAGAAGAGGAATGAGATACAACACTGACATTGCAATAATAATCTCTAAGATATCCAGGGGGCCTTTTAATTCTAACTTGAGGAGTAGGAATTGTGGTTTGGTGTGGTTCTGTAGTTGTAATATGGATTGGTTCATTTTCTTCTGGTGGTTTAGCTGTATTTGAAGATTCTATTTTTGTATCAGTCAAATGAGTATCTATGGCTGCTTGATGGATTGAGTCAAAAATGAAATGGATGGTATTATCAGGTGAATCAAAACTATTGTCAGTTATGTCATTACTGTTCTTATGATATGGAAATATGTGTTCATGGAAAACCACATTCTAGATACAGACAACTCTCTAGTTTCAACATTTAAAAGGATATAACCCTTGGTTCCAGGTTTAAATCCCAAAAAACACACCTCACAGCTCTTGGATCAAACTTTGTTCTATTTACAAGTAAAGTGCTTGCATAACATAGAGAACCAAAGATCTTTAAGTGACTCAAATCAGGTTCTTCTTTATAAAGAATTTTATGTGGAGAGAAGTTATCAATAACATGTGTAGACAATAAATTAATGATGTGAGTCGCATGTTGAACAACATAAGACCAATACACAGGAGGAAGTCTAGACTGAATTATCAGAGCTCTTGCTACATTCAACAAATGTCCATGCTTTCTTTCAACAATACTGTTCTGTTATGGTGTGTAAACACAAGATGTTTGATGGATTATACCTTTAGAAGCATAAAAATATTTCATAGAAAATTATGTCCCATTGTCTATTCTGATTACTTTTATAGTTGTGTCAAATTGAGTTTTGATGAAATAAAACTTTGTATGACTTTAGCTGTTTCGGATTTTTGCTTCAAAAGAGTAATCCAAGTATATCTAGAATGATTATCCACAACAGTAAAGAAATATTTGTGTCCATGGACGGATGGAATGGAGTAAGGTCCCCACAAATCATCATGTATGAGATCAAAACATTTATTTGAATGAGAATGACTAGTAGGAAAGGGAAGTTTTCTTTGCTTGGCCAAGTGACAAATATCACAAACATAAAATCTATCATGATTAACATATGGAAAGTTATTTCTTATTACATCAATGCACCTATTTGAAGCATGACCTAAACGAAAGTGTCATATATTTGTATCATTAACAGAAGACAAACTAATAGTAGTCACTATATGAGGAGGAGACTTATTATATGACATAATTTGAACAGAAGGCACCCTTAGAATGTAGAGACCATCATGCATATCAGTTGTACCAATCGTTTTCAACAAACTCTTGTCCTGAATTTTGCATTGTTTAGAATCAAAGGTTAGAGTGTAGGAAAGATTTGTGGTTAACTTAGCAATAAAAATCAGGTTAAAGTTGAAAGAAGGAATGTATAGCACATCATGAATAACATGATTTGGATCAAGAAACACACTGCCTGAATGATTAGCTATCACTTTGGTTTTATTTGGTAAGGTAACATAAATGGGTCGAATTTGATGAAAACTAGAAAAACAATTCAAAGAAAAATAGATGTGGTCAGTAGCACCACTGTCAAGAATCCAAAAATTAAGATTAGAAAGAATTTTAGCATTTTGAGAAGCATCATTAAACGATTTTGAGCTGGCAGAGACTTGATTTGAGACATGGTTGGAATTGGTGACTTGTGATTGTCGTAGAAGTGCTATCAAGCCTTCATATTGCTCTTTTGAAAACCCAAATTGATGTAGTCCCATACTATCTTGTTTGAGAACTGATATGGTGTCTTGAAGGTCAGCTATATGGAACATGTCTCCTTGAGAGAATCTCTCCTCAAGATCAGACCAGATATCTGAAGCCGTGTCTCTCCACATGACACTTCTTGCTATGGAAGCTGAGAGAGATCGTATAAGCCACGTCACAACCATCATTTGGCCCTTTCCCAAATAGGATATAGAGAGTCAGTCTTATTGGAAGGTGAAATAGTGTCATTGATGAACCCAAGCTTGTTATTGGAGACAAGACTCATACGGACCATTGGTGATAATTTGGTCCATCTAGTCGAGACAAGCAAGAGAGATGAATTTTCAGATGGATGAAGATAGTATGGTGATGTGGGGTTTTGAGAGGGATCAACCTCCATAGGAATGTAGAACTAGAGCTCTGAAAGTCAGAGCTCTAATACCATATTGAAAAATGAATTGAAGATAAAAATGAATATTTTTTCATACTTTTGAACTTATTATAAGGTGAGGTATTAATACACAAGACTAAAATCCTCCAAAAAAAATACAGAAAAGAGTGTTACGTACAGTCACAGAAAAGGCAAAATTAAAAGCAAAACGGATAAAAACTTATAAAATCTAAAAAAATGAAAAATTTATTGAGATATAAGATGATATGTTAAAAGTACTGCATGCCACCTAGTTGCATTTTATAAACTAAAATAAGGTTTGTTTGATTTCATTGTGGTTATTAGTGATGTTGAAGTCAGGAACCCGTGGTTGATGGATTGCTAGACTGTGTTGTTTTGGACAAAATGGTGGCTTCTGGTGTGATTAGGCGGTATTCAGTCTTATTAGCGGTGGGTACTGGTGTAATATCCCGATCTTCATACTGAATGATCGTCGTGAACTCAATATTGTGAGTCCACTGATAAGCCTCACCCAGATATTGAGGCTGCTTTCATTCATGAAGCATTCCACCCTCACAGTCCTATTGTTCTGGGCTTCTACAAACTACCCCGAGGTGAAAGACGAGCACACCATCTCTGAGAGGTTCAACCCTCTCTTCTTCACTGAATCGATGAAGGGACCGTACTTCCGTGGCAGAGCTATGGCATTGTTCTGTTCATCAACGGATAGGGTGGGGAACCCATTTCCTCTGTGAATGTTATCTGAGAGAATAATAACTTTATCTTTCTGCTCCCTCTCGTTACTTGTCTCTTGTCCCAATTTTGGACTTGTATCAATATCACGTCCATTCCTATCAATTTGGTGCTTTCATGCACGATGTCCAAGGCGGAGAATAGTTGTAACTTGTAAATCTGAGAAGGCAAATGATGAGCTACTCGTCCACTGCTTGAATCGGAAGGCAGAAATGCAGCAATAGTTTGCTTCTGTAGCAGCAGAAGTTTCCGAACACCATGAGCATACTCATCAACCACACCGTGGACTATCACCACATGCCTTTCAGCCTCGGCCACCGAAGATCAACCTCTCCAGTTTTGGTGGCACAGACCCTTTGGAATGTTATTTCAAGCGGACCAATACTTTTATGTACAGGAAGTTTTCATAATCATATCAAATTTAAGTCAACTATGCTTAAATATGAAAATTTATCCGTTGAATATTTTGAGCAATATTTACATTTTACTTTATTTTCATTATCTAAAATATTTATTTCATATTTTCATCCAATATCTATAATATTTCTTGGTACATTTTTTTACTTTTAAGTGGAAGTTAAGACCTAGTTACATTATCTTGATAAGAATTTGAACCAAATCAATATATTTTTAAATTTCAATTTTTATATCTAAAATAATCAAAATAAAAAAATAATTAAAAAAATTCCTAATCCATATAAAGCATAACCCAAAAATCCCAAATCTCAATTCAGCTTGTGTTCGTGGAGCAAATCAACATTGGCCAACAAGAGCAACCACGACCAACAAGAACATCGACAAGCAGTTTGACCAACAACGATTTCAATGATGAGCTAAGACCGATACGGTACAAGATAATTAAGTTTTACCTATGGATGTTGATAATATGGTTGTTGTAAAATTATGTTTGTAATTATTGAGGGATAAATCTGTTAATAAAATCATATAATAAGTAATTAATTTACTAATGGAAATTTCTGGCAGTATATATCCGTCGATAAGTAACTAACTTACACCCATACCGTTTTCTTTTTCTGGTTGCCCACAGAACTTGTATCAATTTAATAATCCATTCCACAAGCTAATTTTCAGTCCCAATATCAATCTAAATAAATCAAACAGTACACAACAAGCTAAAAAATAACTAAACAAGGATAAATTCTTATATTATTTAACTAAAAAGGTTGGAAAACACAATTAATATGAACATAATGTGCTTAAAAACATATGAAGTGTATATAGTAATAACAACTAATAATTTGAATAAACTGAAGATAAATGTGGTTGTTGTGGGTTGTCCCCATCTTGATCATTATCATTTTGTGATTCTCAGTTGTCATGTTTTTGTTAGGAGGCATGTTACTGTTGTTGGGAGGCATGTTGCTGTTGTTGTTGGGAGACATGTTGTTGGTTTTGCAAGAGCATATGGTGTTGTTGAATAATAGTTTAGGCATCAAGAGGGAAGAATTGCATAACTGTACCAAACAATGATTTAAATGACTTAAATTGATGAGTCAATCTCTCTTTTGTCTTCTTTGTACGTCGAATCTCCTCCTCACATGTAAAAAACTGTTGTTTGAGTTGAATCATGTCTTCAAATTCATATGAGGAGTTAGATGCTTGTTGCTTGAGGTTATCATTCCCCTCTATAACTTTGAGCAAAGTTGTCTAGCTCCGTAAAGTTGACTTTTACTTTTTTCATCAATTGTTTCGACTCAACATCAAGTTTGATAATCTCTAGATTCATTCTACTTACTGATCAAACACAAGTTTTTCTTTCCTCTTCTTGTTATTGTTCATTATCTTCCTAGTTTATTTTGATTGTTCTTCTTATAACTTGAATTAAAGGTATAAGAATGACTTAAGGAAATAGTAAATGTGAAGTTTTATCAAATAAAAAATATATATATGTATTTGAATTTTTTCAATATAAAAATATAAATTTTACAAGTTTTGAAATTATATATATTTGTTATTATTGATTATTATATAAATTTAATTATTATTCTAAATTATAATTTCTTAAAATAATATGTTGATTTATATTATTAATTTAAAATATATATGTTGAATTATCAATAAACAAATTATAATTTTATTATTAAATTTATTAAAAAATTTAATTAAAAAAAATGATTTAATTTTTTTAAAATAATGATAAACCCGTTCGTCAACGGACCAAAGTCTATAATTCACTGTAACTATAATGGATTAGTTTGTTTCGTCTCAATTTTTTACGAGAGAAAGGCAAAACAGACCAAAAGAAGACTAGCTAATTTGTATGAAGGGGTGAATGAAAAGAAAAGTAGAATTAAAATCAGAATTTGTTTTCTTTCTTAGTGTTGTTGACTCTTGCTCCAAAATCGCACTTTTTAACCATTCCTATCAGTTTGGCTACGGATTATGGCAATGGCCAAGGCCTTGCGAGGGACAGTTGTGGTGTTTGGTTTGGATTGCATTCGGGGATGGCATCCTTCTCAGGATCATCGAGGCTAATGTAGTGGAACCTCAACCTGCTGCTTGAGTTCTTCTATCCTGGGTTTTATTTCGGACACAAATTATCTTTTCTAAGGTCAAAGGGTCTAGTGGATGCTGAGGTGCGTCGGACACCACCGCTTGGAAGGAGAAGAGCTTGAAAGAAGAGAAAGTTTCATGGTGGAAGCCATGATGAGGATGAAGCCCTGGCTTGGTGTGTCCAATGGAAGCTCTCCCTAAGCCCTTAAATACACGCAACTGAACTTGTCGTGTTCACTCCATTATCCCAAGTGCATGAATTGTTTTTGTTAGTTATGCCATCTTTGAAGCCAATAAACTTGTTTTCAGCACTTGATCTCATGTGGGACATTAAGTATAACTACGAGAAAAAAAACATATAATCGTAGTTTAATCGTTTAGGCTAATAATGCGCACATGGATAACTTCTAAACAATTTGTTCCAACAAAATGACAACTGTTGTTCAGAAAAATTATAACACGCTGTTCAAAGTTATGTACCATTAATTTTTTAATTACATACGATGACTTTCTTTATTACATGTGATTAAATTTCTTTTAAATATTATCATACTTATCAGACCTGAATCGACCAATGCTGTTCTAGCACTTGGCCTCCCGGACCCAATGTTAGCATGGTTTGAGATATAGATGATGTGTAGGAAGTATTCGGTTCAATCTTTCACAAAAATCGAATGTTATGGGACTTTTATAGACTTCTGTATACTATTTTTTCATTAATAGTGTATTGTATATCATAGTATTAAAAAAATAAAAATAAAATACCAGTATTTTTCCCATGTGAGTTATCTTTAATAGGTACATAAATGAGTTGTTTAGAATAGGAGATTTCTACAAAATTATTAATAGAGACTTAAATAAGAAATTGTAAAATTTAACTCACTATTATATGAGGATTAAGGAGATACATATGCTTTATGATGCTAATGTTGAGGAGACCGAAAGACAATTATGATAATGTCACTACTGCAGAAAAGACTTTTTACATCGATTAAAATGGGCTTTCGACGTCGGTTAAAGCGGCGACATAGATACGGGGTCATAGAAAGTAAGGCTTTCTACGTCGGTTCCTAATAACCGACGTAGAAAGTAAGATTTTCTACGTCGGTTAATAGGAACCGACGTAGAAAGCCCTACTTTCTTTGAGCTATTATGATCGGTCAAACTGGTTATGATCGGTCATAGAGCTATTCTGATCGATCATAACTGGTTCTGATCGGTCACAGAAAGACTTTCTACGTCGGTTAGTCAGGGAACCGACGTAGAAAGTCTTATTTTGTATGAGTTATTTTGATCGGTCATAACTGGTTCTGATCGGTCATGAAGCTAATCTGATCGATCATAGCTGATTCTGACATGTCGTAATACTTTCTATGTCTGTTAACACTTATAACCGACATAGAAAGCCTTACTTTCTATGTCGGTTAAAATTATAACCGACATAGAAAGTACTTTCTACGTCGGGTAATGACATAACCGACGTAGAAAGTGTTATTTTTTTTTTTTAAATACCTGCATTTTATTTACAGATGCTACCTTTCTTCGAGTAGACCTGCCTATTCATCACAGTTCCAGACAAATAACCACAGATCCAGTACAGACAGATATGCACAGTTCATATATAAATTTGCTACAGATATATATCCAGTACAGACAGATTCAGTTGCAGACAGATATGTACATATGAAACACATTGAAATGAATATATGTACAGACAGATCCAGTTCCAGACAGTTCATTTACTTAAACGAATGTAAATTTCCTAACTTAAATCAATTCTATCTAAATTGTTACAAGTTAAATTTCCTATGAAGATTGAATGCTTAAATTTCCTATCAAGTTGGAGCATTCTCCCAAAATCCTTCCATATGGTCATAACGGATGGCATGCACATCATCTATTTCTACATTAACACTCAAGTTTGGCATATTTGAAGAGAAACATGGTGTCTCGGGTATATCAAGTACTAATTCATCATTCTCATCAGAAGTATACATGGGTTTTCCTTGTAGAACCACTGACCATCCTTTGTTAGCGGGATCAGTGACATAAAACACTTGTTTTGCCTGAGATGTCATGATAAATGGTTCTTCGGTATAACGAGTATTTTCAAGGTTAACCAAGGTAAATCCAAGATCATCGGTGAAGATGTCAGTATTAAAATCAACCCACTTGCATTTAAAAATAGGTACTCTGAATATCGTGTAATCTATTACCCAAATCTCTTCAATTACACCAAAGTAGCCCATTGACGCCCTTATCGGATATTTATCCTTTGAACTCGAGAAATGCATTGATTCAACCACCACCATGACTCCACTATTTTGCATTGTGCTTATTTCATCTTCTCCCTTTGTATAAAATGAATAGTTATTTATATCATACCCACCCCAACATATCACATCAAAGTTTGGCTCACATGCTAGCCACTTTAGTGTATCAGAAGCTGTATTGTCACCTTCAACTTGTTGTTTAAACCACTTCAAAAAGCTCTTGTTGTGTTCAGTGATCACCCACTTTTTAGGCATACGTGGATTATTTCGCTTCACAATCTCTTTATGAGCACCTAAGTAGGGGATGACTTCTTCACTGTTATTCAATATGTACAAATGCGCTTGAAGTACTTCATCTCGACACATTGTCACAACGTTTGCACCTCGAGTTCCTCTACCAAGACCTATTCCATGGTCACGAGTCTTAGGTAACCCTATAGGTTCAACTTCTGATAAGTAGTTTGTGCAAAACTCAATAGCTTCCTCTGCAATATATCTTTGAACATATCGGGCAAGCTTTATGTCCCTTTGTGCTGTAGCCACTCAAATTACCATATGTTGGAAAGTCATTAATTGTACAAAATAACATTGCACGCAACTTGAATAAGTCACCTGTGTACCCATCAAACACATCAACACCTTCCTCCCACAACATCTTCAACTCTTCAACCAATGGGCTTAAAAAAACATCAATGTCATTTCCAGGTTGTCTGGGACCCGAGATCATCAAAGATAGCATCAAGTACTTACGTTTCATACACAACCACGGAGGTAAGTTGTAAATAACTAACACCACAGGTCATGAACTATGTTTATCGCTTAAATTTTCATATGGATTCATTCCATCTCGTAGCAAGTCCAAACCTAATGTTTCTTGGATCATTACCAAAATTCTGGAAGATGGAATCAATTTTTTCCATTGCAATCCATCTGCTGGGATGCCTCAACTGACCATCTTTAATACGACTATCTCGCATGTCATCTAGTGAGTTTTGCATCATTTCCATTAGTGAATAATCGTTTCAACCTTGGAACAATGGGAAGATACCATAACACTTTTGCCGGGGTACCCTTCATAACATCATTGTCAGAATCACCATCCTTCTTCTTGTATCGTGATTCCCCGCATTGTGGACATTCGTGACAGTTCTCAAATTCTTTCCTGTACAACACACAATCATTCGAACATGCATGAATTTTTTGGTACTCCATACCCATTGGACACAATATCTTCTTAGCATCATAATTGCGGGTTGGCAATGTGTTACCTTCAGGGAGCATGTCACTCAACAACTCAAGCAATTCTGTGAAACTTTTATCAGTCCACCCATTCTTTGCCTTCACATTGAACAATTTTAGTACCGTCAACAATCGTGTGAACTTAGTACAATTTGTATACAAAGGCTCTTTTGCATCATTGGACAACTTCTCGTACACATGTCTGTGTTGGAAGGCATCTTGTCCAAGCTCACGAATCATTTCCTCCAGCTGATCATCCATCTCTAGATCAACTTCTTCTTTGTCTTCTACACTTGGCATGTTTAATAATTCACCATGCCATGTCCACTTTATGTAACTCTTTAGGAAACCATCACAAAGAACATGTTCCCGAATAACTTCAGTCGGTAATCTTCACTCATTCAAGCAGTTAACACAAGGGCAATAGAATCTTCCATCATTATCCGAAACATTCATCTTAGCAAATTCAAGGAATTGTTCTACTCCACTCTCATATTCATTTGTTGTTCGTCTATAATTGATCCAACTCCGATCCATTGTTACAAATCTAATTTTCAAAATCAAATTAGCTACAGAAACACGAAATAACTACATTATAATGCCTACACGAAATCCAACTCCACTCTCAAAATAACTACATTATAATACAAATCTAATGTTCAAAATCAAAATCACGAAAGAATGCCTACAGAAACACATTCAAATGACTAAACTACTTACAATACATCTCTAAATTAGCTAAAGGCACCCGTGATGTTTCCCTCTCTTGACAACATTATTACTTACTAGATTTAATACTGTAAACCTACATTGGCTAAAGCAAGCACGAAAACTTACCTCTTGAAGACCTACGAGAGGTGGCGGATGGCGTGACGTGCGGAGCCGGGTGGGGAGAAACGTATCCCGGGCGACGGGCACCGAGTAGCAGCAGGCGGCACGAAGCGTTGGCAGGTGGCGTGACGAGTAAATGTGGGTGCGGAGAAACGTATACAAGCGAACGGGGGAGCTCTGGTATGGGTGAACTGATGAAAGGAAATGGAGCGTAGGGAGAAACGTACAGGGGAGCTTTGCTATGGGGGGGAAGTGATGAAATGAAATGGAGCGCGGGAGGAGGGTAAAACAGAAGATACTATGTCGGTTGCCCTAACACCCGTCATCAAAGACACTTTCTACGTCGGTTAAAATTTACCCGACATAGAAAGTTCACTTTCTACGTCGGGTAACTTTCTACGTCGGTTAAAATGTAACCGACATAGAAAGTGACCTTTCCACTTACTATGTCGGTTAAAACTTACTCGACATAGAAAGTTTATGATTTTATTACAAAATTGCCACCGCGCCACATACTATGACGGGTGGATTACGTCCGTGATAAAAACCCGTCATAGAAAGCTATTTTTCCACTAGTGTGTTTATAGGAGGAGATTTAAAGAAGGAAATATTATGTGGTGGAGTTGTATCATTAGGTGGAGATGGAGGATTTTTTGTACAAAATAATTAAAGTTAAAAAACTATTACAAATTTATTATAACTTCTACTTCTTCCTTGAGATTTACTGAAAAACAATATTATAAGTTGATTCGTCTGTGAAACAAAAAGAAAGTTCAGTTTTTCTTTATAAAGCTTGATCCGTCACAAAATTCGTCATAATTTTCTTAATAATAACCATATTAACTTTAAACAAAATCATATTACATGCTTTCACTACAAGAAAAATCGTTTTTAGCGACCAAAAAAATCGGTCGCTAATGACCAAAATTCGGTCGCTATTCTGTTAGCGACCGAAATTAGCGACCGAAATGGTTGGTCGCCAAAGGGCAAGTCGCTAAGTTGTTAGCGACCGATTTACATTTCGGTCGCTAAATAGCGACCGATCTGGTGGTCGCTAAAGTGGTCGCTAAATAATTTGGTCACTTATTCATTAGAGACCAAAATAGCGACCGAATTAAGTGGTCGCTAAATCGATCGCTAAATCCGTGGTAAAGTTTTAAAAAACAGCGACCAATATATTCGGTCGCTAATATATTAATATAATTATTTAAATAATAATTAAAATCGATTCATTAAATCGGTCGCTAAATAGCGACCGAAATGAAAATCGATGGTTAAATAGAGACC